AATTCGATGGTCAAACCCGCTAATACAATCTGCTATTTGATAACCGCTAATACAATACACTACCGCTAACCGCTGATAACCAAACAAACCCAAAATCTCCTTAGGCAACATTTTCCTGTTCCAAAAGCTTCTTAAAATCTCCCTTTTGGGGATGCCCTTAGGGGGCGTTTGGTTCACGGAATGTTAGATTACCTTAGAAAATGTTATATTGCTAGGAATGTTAGATTACTGAGAATGTTAAATTACTGTGTTTGGTTAAAAACTAAGATATGTAAATAAGACAACATTAATAAGATAAATTGATTAAAAAATACAAAGCCCAATATTAGTAATAAGACAAGGGAATATGAGATTACCTAAGAAATTGGAGGGTATCTCACATTCTCTTCCAATAGCTAAAAACTTAAATGCGGAGGTTATCTGACATTCCCTGAAAAAGTTACATAACTTGAACCAAACATGAGAATCTTATATTACCAAGCGAATATAACCTTGGTTATCTTATATAATCTGAACCAAACGTTCTCTTAGTGTTATATTTCTACACGAATAATTCTTTGCTATTGCTCACCACTGTGTAGTTTTCCATATATGCATTAATATAATACAATGCATAGTACATGGAAGACTTGTAAAAGTAGCTAGGCCACGGGTCTTTACTCTCTTCTTTTCACCAGTCTAGCAACTGTACTCCGTAATAAATTGGGCAAATTAAAGCCATCCGCATCCAGTACTATATAACATTTATAAGAGAATGACCCGGGAACAATGACCCTTTGTTCCTTGTACGAAGTAAGCAATGGTTTAACATCTGCATGTATTTAGTTGATTATAAAGGTAAAGTTTAAAAATAATGACTCGAGATCGAGTCTCACCAGTGGTAGTGTGGGAGCAACCTTTGAAGGAATTTCTTTATGCGCAGTAAGTAAATATCTAGCCTTTGTGTTCAACTGAATTACCATAATTTACATTCTCTCAAATCCTCTGTGAGGCCAGGACGTGGAGGACTATCGGGGTTGGGATTCTACTTTTTGGAAACAACATTTATAAGAGAATGGCAATTAAAGTTAGTGTTCTATCCCTAGCTACCATCCAAATTTGAAGATTTTCTTTGAGAGACTGCATCGTCTGCATGGCTGCGCTAATAACTTAATTAGGAAAAATTTTATGCCGTAATTGAGTATTTAGTGATGTCATAAAATATTATATATATACTTGATAAAAATTATTATTATCACAATTATTCGAAAATAATAATAAATTTTCAAAAAATTCTAATCCACAAATCAACAGAAAATCAAAGGGAATGGGAGCATTGAAGCATCAATTTCTCATTCTATTGAAGAACAAAGACTTTCTCAACCTCAATTTGTTGAAACACAAAGAGTCAATAACCTACCACCTCTCACATGGGGAGCAACTTGGTGCGAGACCACACGCTCATTGGCAAAAATAGTAGTTTTGATGTTTCAAAAAATCACAAAACATTCTACCCAACCCAAGAAGGTATTTATAGCATAAATAGAATTCATTAATTAACATAACTAATAAAACTGGAAATTTAAAATTGGGAGTTAATATTACAAAACTAATTAAAATTATCTCAACAATTTCTAGCATACGTTGGAAATACATTAGAATTTCCCTTAATTAATTAATATAGCTCACGGAGGACCGTAGACCCTTGTCTATATATTAAAGACCTTAAACCTGTTAGGAATAAAGAAAGTAGACCTTTTACTATTCAGATTCTAATTAGGAATCCTATATATATATATATATATATATATATATATATATATATATATATATATATATATATATATATATATATATAAGGGATCATGTGCGAGAGGAGGCTTCCCGTGCGGTTGTGCGGTTGGACTCACATTAAGCATTAAACTGACGCACTTTAAGTACACAACACACACACATTAAGCACACAAATAAAATACCTTCAGAACACAAACTCACGCACCTTAAGCACAAAACTCACGCATCTTAAGCATAACCCTCACGCACCTTAAGCACAAAACGCACGCACCTTAAGCACAAAAACACACGCATCTTAAGTTTCAACAACTACTCACATTAAGCACAAACTCACGCACCTTAAGCACAAGATCACTCACACACCTTAAGTACAAAACTCATGTACCTTAAGCACAAAACTCATGCACCTTAAGTTTCAACAACTACTCACATTAAGTACACACTCACGCACCTTAAGTACAAGCCTCATGCACCTTAAGTACAAAACTCACACACATTACTCACCAAACAACCGCACAAGAAACATGCACCTGCACTGAAACTTATTTATATATATATATATATATATATATATATATATATATATATATATATATATATATATATTGCAAATCCACATCCATTTTCTAATGTGGGAAAAAGTCTAATTACATACATTTCCAACTCAAATGGTACACTTTGAGAATCAATTTCTCATTTACATATATTATCTAATTTAAACATAAATATAATGTATCAAATTAAACATATCACTTAGGAGAATCCAAATCTACTTTGACCGTACCCAACTCAAATTGAAAATGAACTCCATTGAAAATTATACAACAAAATGATGACTTTAAATGCCATATTAAAAAAAAAAAAAATCAACAACAACAACAAAATGAATATATAAATATTAAATTAGATTTATAACCAGCCTCTATACTTGAGATAAATGATATTTTAAACATGAGTTAATTCCATTTCTGGTCCTAGATTTATAGGTGTCAGCCTACTTTTAGTATTTTTTTTTTTTCAAAACATCTCCCTTTGATCTTAGCTAGTATTATTGTAGCATAATCATTTTTTGTCCTCCATCAACAAAATAGTTTAAATGACATTAAATACAAGATCATTTTTGTCTATTTAGTTCTAAGTGTTAATTCCTTTTTTGTCCTAGATTTATATGTGTAATTTTACTTTTAGTACGTCCTTTTTTGGAACATCCTCATTGGTCCTAGCTTAGCATTATTATGGAATGACCAATTTTGGTGATCCGTCAACAAATATGTTTAAATGACATTAAAAATGTCGTTATTAACCACTCAAAATCTTCATTTTTTTTCTTGGTAATAGAACAATACAAAGAACATCTTCAAAAACTTATATACACTAATTATACATTCATTGATAGCATAAATAATCCATAATTCATTCATAGCATAATGGAGCAAAAAACGGTTACCATCCAATACATAAGTCTACTGCAAAATCCCAAAAAAAAAAAAAAAGTGCAATTAAAAAATCATAAGTCTACTTCATGATAAACTTTAAGTGTAGTGCATAAGTCTACTTTATAAAAAATCCACAAGACCTCCGAAGCCCCCTAACAATAAACTGATTTAAAATGTTTTTAAAATAGAATTATGAATTATTTTGAAGTAATCTTGTGAACTTTTATGAGGTAGACTTATGCACTATACTTGAGGTTTACTATGAAGTACACTTGTAGTTTTTTAAATTGCACTTTTTGAATTTTGCAGTAGACTTATGTATTGTTAATAGTTTTTGCTCCATTATACTATGAATAAATTATGAATTATTTATGCTATCAATGAATATAATGTATGATGAATGTATATAATTTTTTGAAGATGTAGCCTTTGTATTGTTCTATTACTAAGAAGAAAAAATGTGAATTTTGATCGAGTATTAACATTTTAATGATATATATATATATATATATATATATATATATATATATATATATATATATATATGTTGATATAGGATAAAAAATAGTTATGTCACAATATAATCTTAGGACCAAAAGAGATGTTCTGGAAAAAAAAAAAATTAAAAAGGCACCAAAAGTGTAAATCTAAGACCAAAAAAGAAAAAGAATTAAAACTTAGAACTTAATACACCAAAATGCCCTTAGATTTAATGTCATTTAAAAGATTTTGTTTACGGAGGATAAAAAATGATCATTTCACAATAATACTATGACCAAATTGAAATTATTTGAAAAAAATAAGAATAAAAATGAATTGATACTTATAAATTTATGACCATAAATGGAATTAACTCTTGTTGTCACTCAAAAACTCTCGTCTATAGAATATAGACTATAGACTACAATTATTTTGGGTAGATGAAACTCTTTATGATGTGAAGTTTAAGATGTGACCAATTAATGACTACATTTATTATTTGAACTTTCAGTAGCAACCTACCGATAGTACGTTGCTATGAGAATTATAAATGTATTCACATGCATAGAATACATAAGTTTAAGTTGTATTCTTTTTGAGAGCGACTTATTAGCTAGCTTTGCTTCTCAATTTGAGGTAACTAGTTATGAACAATTTGGACTATGGTCGGTCTTCCTTTCCGTAAATCAAAAGAGTATTTATTAATAAACAATTAGTGGAAGTGGTATCCATTCGTTGTGCTTTAGTAGATTGAGAAAGTAATTATGAACAAATACTGGTATTAACTCGTTGTGCTTTAGTATGTTAAGAAAGTAGTTATGAACAGATACTACATTGTAATAAAGTCGTAGCATTAAAAAAAAAAAAGGAATAAATTTCCATTGTTGGCTGTATTTCTTAAAGGCCCCCGAAAAAGCAATATTTTAAAAAGAATCCATAACCTTTTCTAACATAGAAAAGCACACAGAGTTAACAACACCTTCACGAGACTCAATCTCATGACTTCCCCACATGGGAGAGTTCATTACATGTTATTTGAGCACAAGGTGCTGCGCAACATACATCTTTTAATCCTTATAAGTTTAAATTTTAACAGAATGAGAGAGATGAAATTTCACCCAGTAATTTCGCTTTTATATATCACTAATCATTATCGTGAATACTTTATTAGATGAATTAATCAATATTAGGAATAAATTATTTCTAATAGTCTTTGCTTGATTCATATAAGCGTGATACCTTGGAGAAGAGGACTGACTTCAATTGGTGTATATATGCATGCATGGTTTGGTTGGTTGGGATACAATCATATCACTGCACTTAGCTTTTTTCACTTCTTAGCTCGCTCTAACATTATATTATATTATATTAATGGCATTGTCTTCAAGAAATGGGATCCTGGGTGGAGAAGAAAGTGGTTTGATGTTGGTACCCCAGGAGAGTATGAATAAGATACAAAGGGTTCGATCTTTCTTGCGGGGTTCCAAGCGCAACGATGACTACAATCCTAAAGTGATTTCCCTAGGGCCATACCACCACTTCAAGCCGGAGGTGCAGGCTCTTGAGGGATTGAAGCCCAAGGTGTTTGATAACTTCATTTCCCGTGGTTACAGTCAAAGTGATGCTAATTTCTATGGGAAAACGGTGTTGGAGGTAGTGGGTGAGGCCAGGAGGTGTTATGTTGAAGGGTCGACAGGTGAATTTGATGATTCCCAATTTGCTAAAATGATGCTTCTGGATTCCTGTTTCTTACTATGTTATATGCTGGATGGTTTTGATGGTTTCTGGTTTTCAGAGATGATTGGGGCTTCATTTTATCTCTTCATACAACGTGACTTGTTTTTGTTTGAAAATCAGATCCCACTCTGGATTGTGGAGTTCTTGTTTAATGACAGATTTGCTACAATAATGGGGATTTCTTGGAAAGAACTACTTGTAGGGCATTGCCAAAGAAATCTTTATGGTGAGGAGTATACGGTGGACAACGACATGTATAGAGATGGAAAACCGCTTCATCTTTTACAAGCTTTCCAGACGCTCATGGCCTGCAAATCTAACACCACCCCAACGGTTACGCCATTATCCACTCACTCTTCATGGTGGGGACGTTGCTGCCCAAACTTCATGCGAACCGATGAAAATAGCTCTTCATGGTGGGGACGTTGCTGCCCAAACTTCATGCGAACCCAAGAAAATAGCACAATAATAAAGTCGCAAAAAGATTCATTTGAAAAGTATGGTTACGTATTTCGTTCAGTCATGGATCTAAAAGCAAAGGGAATTCATTTTGGTCATAGTGATAATATTTATTCTGTCACCAGCATCAACTTTGAGTCTAACTATGCATATGCGAAACTAAAGCTTCCTATTTGGTATGCTTCCTTTTTAAGCAAAGTTTTCTTCACCAACATGCTGGCCTATGAGATTTGTTCCAATGGAACAAATGGCAATGAGTTAGAGATAACTTCTTACATAAATTTCATGAAATCTTTGATTGTTTGTCCCAATGATGTAAAAGAGTTGCGAGAAAAACGCATCATATCTAATACACTTGGAGATGACATGAAAGTGGTGCAGTTGTTCAAAGCATTAAACCCTCATGGAATTGACAATCCCAGAATTTTTAAGGAGGTGAAGCAGAAAATTCAACAACACTATGATAGCAAAGCAAATTCGTGGATGGCTGAACTTGTCTATACTTACCTCAGAAGTCCCTGGACTATTATGGCTTTACTTGCTGCTTCTCTTCTTCTTCTTTTAACTTTGGCACAGACTTATGTTGCCTTCAACCCGCGCAATTGATTCAAACTTCTTTCAACCGATGGAGAGCAGGATTATTGAATTACAAAATTTGGTTTGAAATTTAGAGTGATAATAAAAATTTGGTACGGTATGTATGTACTCCTTTCATCTTTTTTGTCATGTAGTGTAATTTCTATTTTGTTTGAAATTAAGAGTGTTACATGATTTTTTTTTTTTTTTTTTGTGCTGTAAGTTAAGGAGTGTTATTAAATTTATGAACAAATATAGTATATTTATGTTGTGTTAATATTGTTATATAATTTTATAATTGCTGTGATCATATTGCATGCACATATAACATAACGTTTAATTCTCAAAAATAAGTGACCATACCAAGAATGTTGAAGAGATAATGGATGGACATGCGCATATATGCACTACACTTTTTTTTTTTTTTTTACTGTTTACTCCATGAGGTAGCTATCAACTGTCTATTGGTGTTAAGTGGCAATTTTTTTTTTTTTTTTTAAAGTGAAAGCTCGATCAGAATCGAAAAATTATTATGTGGATCCGGGTCCAAAATATATAATTTACATACAGAATTCACAATTTACATGTAGAATGTGAACAATTTTATAAAAGGTAAATTGTTAATATTAAGTGTGTAAATTATATATTTTAGACCTAAATTCACCTTGCAAGATGGACCTTGATCCATGGTATAACAATTAACAACTTATCAAAACCATATCCCTTTTAGGCTTTTCACTATCAAAGAAATAATGTTTGGGCCATCTATTCATCTCATTTTTAATTAGAGCTAGTTAGGGTTCGCAGTTGATAGTTAATTGTTATCGCAAATTATGCTGTGCAACCGAATGCACCATGCGCATGGTGCATACGATGCAAAACGACGTCGTTTTGGTTAAAAAACGCGCGTCCCACTTAAAAAAGAAATCAGGTTCGATTCCCGGCAATATCATTTTTATATATCCATAAATTCATAACTATATATCCACAGTGAATGAATGAAGTAAAAATCCACAATGAATGAACTAAATATCCACAATGACTGAACTAAATATCCACAATGAATGAACTAAATATCCATAAATTCATAACTATATATCCAGAAATTCATAACTATATATCCATAAATTCATAACTATATATCCACAGTGAATGAATGAAGTAAATATCTACAATGAATGAACTAAATATCCATAAATTCATAATTATATATCTAAAAATTCATAACTATATATCCACAATAATGCTATTGCCGAGAATCAAACCTGATTTTTTTTTTTTTAAAATGAGACGCGCGTTTTTAGTCAAAACGACGTCGTTTTGCATTGTATGCACCATGTCCATGGTGCATTCGGTTGCACAGCATAACTATTGAAAATTGTTATACCGTAGATATGGTAAATAAGATGGACCATTAAAATATATGTTCAATTTCAGTTTATCGCATGCTCATTTGTATTGTACTATAGGTTTAATTTTAATAAATTCATTATATTTTAACAAATGTTCATTTTTAGTGACTGCAAGTTTATTTGCAATGTAATATTTAAAAATGAATCTCTAGTATATTAAAAATAAACATATACTATATTAAAAATGAACATGTATAAATGGTCTATCTTGTGAGATAAATCATAGTTTATGGTTACACAAAGATCATCTTCGAAACACTTGGGCTACACGAAGATCATCTTCGAAACTGATTCTAAGGACCTATTCGAGTGCTTCAATAGCGGATATGTTAACAACAACGTTCTGCACCACCTACTATCTGCCTGTGCAAAGGAAGCTCACACAATTGCCAGTTGGAGCGTGTCTCTTGTGAACCGTGAGCAAAACTGACTCGCCGACGCCTTAGCACGCAAAGCAAAGAACCTTCCGAAAGGCCTGCACATTCTTTACAACCCTCCGGACGAGGCCATAAACGCCCTGCATGATGACCTCGATGGCATTTCTCTTTGGCGACAATAGTTTGCCTCCTTTTTTATGTTTTGGGTGTCCCCCTTCCAATAAAAAATAAAAAATAAAAAATAAATAAAAAAAAAACATAGTTTATGGTATAATTTGCCCAATCATTATTATGTAGACTATGGTCCACACAAGCTGTGTGGAACATATTTTGTATACTGTAAAATATTGTACATTTAGTACAAAAATAATGTACTGTAAAATTATGAACATATACTCTTATAACGAAGCGGTCTGAAATTTAAAAAAAAAAAAAAAAAATAACAGTGCCTAACGGCACTGTTACCCGTGTTCAGCAAGCATGCTGGACACGGGTCCAACGCATAACGATTGTTAATTGAAGGTGTGGGCTTCCTATGCTTTTATTAGTCAAAGTTGTTTGAATTTATTTTGTACTTGGTTTTAATGGATTATTGGGCTGCATTTGTTGGGTCCCTTGGGGAATTTTAATTGGCATTTGAAATTTTGGGCTTTTAAAATTCTAATTTAGCTTAGGCCGTTTTCCAAAAATATATAAAGAATTTGCTCGATCTACTGCTACTGGTAACAACAAAATGCAATCACTATTGTGTGGACCATTTGTATGAACCATATTTTGTTTACTATAAAATAATGTATATTCAGTACAAAAATAATGTATATTCAGTACAAAAATAATGTACATTGTATTCAGGAGATGTACATTATTTTTGTTCTGAGTATACATTATATTATATAATGTACATTCACTACAAAAATAATGTACATTTAATATATTAAAAATATATTTTTTGTTATGGTCCACGTAACATTGTGTCAACCATGGTCCACATAATAATTTGCCAACAAAATGTCAAAAGACAAATGAAAATTTATGACCAGAAATGGGAATCTTCCTAAGCCACTACCAACATAGAAGTTAACATAGGGAATTAGGAAGTAATTAAGGAGAAGGAGCTGTAAGTGTTTTCGTGCACGATATGTTTTCAATAATTAAACAATGAATATAAAATTTTCTTAAATTAATATACTCAACCTATCAATCATTAATGTATCAAATATTATAATTTACGATCAATCTCAATGGTCAAATTATTAATTTAATTTTTATTATCAAAATTTTTTTTATTTAAATCGATCAACTTAAATTAGTTTACCCTTCTTGTGATTCTAATGATATAGGCTAGGTCACATCAAATAGCTAGACAAAGTGACGATTTGATGAATTTAAATATAATTAACACCATAAATTAATTATAATTGAGTGAATTCATTTTATTTAGCAAAGCAAAAAAGTGATGCATAGTCGAAGTTCCCACAAGTGATGAAATTGTGTTGACGGAAAGTTCAATTTGTAGCGGCGGTGCTTATCGTCATCGGCCGTCTCTGTGATCTTACCCCCCAGAAATGGATAAAGTCCGTCTCTTTCATTCACAACACAGTTGAAGAAGACGAAATCTTCTCTTAGAATCCCTTCCATTGCCTTTTTCTCGCTCTACTGGAACCTTTCTCTAAGCCCAAAAATGTTGAGAGCTCACCACCTCCGGCGCTCCCTCCGCTCTCTCCTCACCCACTCCCACCACCATTCCAACCCCCACATTCACCCGCGCCTCCTCTGCTCCCTCTCATCTCAGCCCCCTTCCTCCGACGCCGAGGTCCGCAAGTACATCGGCTACACCGTGCTCGTCCTCGGCTGCGCCGCCGCCACCTACTACTCCTTCCCCTTCCCCGAGGACGCCAAGCACAAGAAGGCCCAGCTCTTCCGCTACGCCCCCTTGCCCGAGGATCTCCACACCGTCACCAATTGGAGCGGGACCCACGAGGTCCAGACCCGGACTTTCCTCCAGCCCGAATCTCTGGAAGAGCTGGAGGCTGCTGTGAAGGATTCTAATGAGAAGAAGCAGAAGATCCGCCCGGTGGGTTCGGGGTTGTCCCCGAATGGAATCGGGTTGACCCGGGCTGGAATGGTGAATTTGGCATTGATGGATAAGGTCTTGGAAGTGGACAAGGAGAAGAAGAGGGTTACTGTGCAAGCCGGCATTAGGGTTCAGCAGCTTGTGGATGCGATTAAGGAATATGGTCTCACTCTCCAGAACTTTGCATCTATAAGGGAGCAACAAGTTGGTGGCATTGTTCAAGTAAGTTCAGTGAAAAAAAAAAAAAAAAAAATCAAATCTTGGTAACATTTGGTATTAGGGTTCCTTATTATATTGCAGGAAATTTGCTTCCTTATTATATATGTGTGAAATTTGATTTTAAACCATGTTGATTAATAAGCCCAATGCCATCTTTAATAGGGTGTGGTATCAACTATCAACTATCTCTTGTGCTCTTGTATAGTTGTATTACCTCTATACTATGAAAATTTCCATGGCTTTGATGACTTTTTTATTAGTTGAAAGATACTTGACATATAAACATTTGTGTGTGTGTGTTTGGAGAAGTGATTTATAGACTTCTAGTGAGTTAATTTTTTTGGCAACCGTTTAAGTATATGCTCCTCGCGTTAGGTTGGTGCTCATGGAACTGGTGCAAGGCTGCCCCCAATCGACGAGCAAGTTATCAGCATGAAATTGGTTACCCCTGCAAAAGGCACAATAGAGATTTCGAAAGAGAAGGATCCAGCGCTCTTTTATCTAGCTCGATGTGGACTGGGGGGTTTAGGAGTTGTTGCAGAGGTCACACTTCAGTGTGTGGAGAGGCAGGAGCTTGTTGAGCACACATATATCTCTAACATGAAAGACGTTAAGAAAAATCACAAGTAAATATGCACTTTCTAAAGTTGGTGATCAATTTTTATTTTTTTTCCCTTTTTCTGTTTGTATGTTCCGTCCTTTTGTTTTCCTCTCATTTATCTATGGTATGAGCTTCAAATCTGGTCTGCTTATTTGGAATGTATATATGGGCATATTAACTTGTTGAAATAGTAAATAAATGGTGTCAGCATACTGCAGAAAATTGCTATCCGAGAACAAGCATGTCAAATATTTGCACATTCCATACACTGATGCGGTTGTGGTTGTAACGTGCAATCCTATCTCAAAATGGAAGGGTCCACCAAAATATAAACCGAAATATTCTCCAGAAGAAGCTGTACAACATGTACAAGATCTCTACCGAGAGTCATTGAAGAAGTACAGGTACAAGAAAGCTGTTTCTTGTTGCTTTTACTATACCCTACTCGGTGGTTTTATGGAAATGGCATTTCAGCAATATACTTATCTAGATTTTTAGGTCCATTTCACTCGTTGAACTAGATTGTTAGGTCCATATCACCCCTCCAAAAGAATCTTATTCCCTGCGTATTTGGATCATTTCTTGGTTTTTCTCTATTATTCTACTGATATCCGTTGCACCCTTCTTACTTGCAGAAGTAGAGCAGCTAGTGATATTAAATCTGCAGATGAAAATGAATCGGAGATAAATGAGCTCTCATTTACTGAATTGAGGGATAAACTGCTTGCTCTGGATCCACTGAACACAGACCATGTCAAAAAAATCAACCAAGCTGAGGCCGAATTTTGGAGAAAGTCAGAAGGATACCGGGTAGGGTGGAGCGATGAAATTTTAGGGTTTGATTGCGGTGGTCATCAATGGGTCTCGGAAACTTGTTTTCCTGCGGGTACCCTTTCAAAACCAAGCATGAAAGACCTGGAATTCATAGAGCAACTAATGCAGCTTATAGAGAAAGAAAGTATACCCGCTCCTGCACCTATTGAGCAGAGATGGACAGCTTGCAGCAAGAGCCTGATGAGTCCGGCTTATAGTTCAGTGGATGATGATATTTTCTCATGGGTAACCTTTTAGTTTTTGATTCTTCTTTATTTACTTTTTCAAGATGGATTGTCATGATTTGCAGCCTAATTGCTCCAAATTCACGCATAAAAAACATAATCTTGAGAATATTATAGTTTAAAGATCAATGACGTGTATCCTAGCAAATTACATACTTCCCAAAGTACAACCCGAGAGAACCCAAAGATTCTGCTGTATTACTTACATTTTTTTTTGTTTTCGTTTCTTCTCACTTCAATTCAACATCTCAGGTTGGGATAATCATGTATCTTCCAACAATGGATGCTCGTGAAAGAAAACATATAACCGAGGAATTTTTCCACTACAGGCATTTGACACAAGCACATTTGTGGGATCATTATTCTGCTTATGAACATTGGGCCAAGATTGAGGTACGTATCAAACAATTTAGGAAATGCCACTGTCAATCTCTGTTTTACTTGACAATCTCATAATTTTCAATCATATTTAAAAATTCTATTCGTTTGTTTGTTTTCCGGATGGTTTGATTGGGAGAGTGCAACTCGTCATACCATTTTAGTGTGCCATGGCAAGCAGATATTCAATTGGCATTAGCAAAAATGAGATTTTTTACGCTGTCTTAGGATGTTGGAAATGAATTGCATTAAAAGCAATAATCCATCCTTGTATATATCCAGGTTCCAAAAGACAAGGAAGAACTACAAGCACTACAGGCGAGACTAAGGAAGAAATTCCCTGTGGATGCATACAACCGAGCACGCCAAGAGCTGGACCCCAATCGCATCCTTTCTAATAACATGCTTGAAAAGCTGTTCCCTTCGTCGTGATAGACATCTATTGGTTCGTTTATCTTTCCCTTGTTGATCTTTGAATTCGAGGCACAAAAGCGCATACTTGCCTATAAACTTGTATATGATTTTGCTAGATTGTTACCTGGAAATGCTACAGAAACTCATATGATTTGGGATTTAATATGCTTGAAGGCTGCTTTTTCACAGGGCTACTGCCTCCAAGTTTCTGAATAAAAATGGATTCACATGATTATGCATTTTTTTTGGGTGTTTTTGTTGCTGCTTTTGCATTATTTCTATCTTTACCAGGTGGATTGATTTCACTGAAGTAACAATCTCATGAAGCTCTGAATAAACAGACAAGGCTAATTATACATACATTATTACAGCTCTTTGTTGGGTAGAATCAAGAAACACACACTGAAACACACAGCTTTAGTCTTAAAGAGTTATGGTTACATCCTAGAAAACAACATTGGTGGTATAGTATAGTGTAAGGAAATCAGATGAAGAGATTCAGACACTCCAGCCCCCTCAGCTTTAGTCAAAGCAAATCTCACATATCCAGCAGCAACATAATGCAAACAGGCTGCACAAACCAAATCACAGGATGGATTACACATCAGATGGGAATCAGAATACTGAGTGTTGCCTAATAACTTACCAACTCAATTTACCCAGTTCACACCTTTTGGTAGTGGCTGTGAGTTTTCTCTCGTCATTCAAAATAAAAAATAAAAAAATACCGAATGTTGGCTACTAACTTACCATCCTTCAATACAGCCTCGCTCTCCCTTGGGCTTGCTCCGCGCCCAACGATTCTTCTTCTCCTTCTTTTCACTCGGAGGGTTTTCAGTCGGATAACCTTTCAAGTCCCAAAAAAAAATGAGTCTATTAGTCTAAATCGAGAAGATAATCACAATTACACATGTTTCATGCATATATATATATATATATATATATATATATATATATATATATATATATATATATATATATATATATATATATATATATATATATATATATATATAATCAGGTGCAAACTAAATTTAACCTACGAACTACTACGTGATTGCACTGAACTGCTCCTAGACATGCCTTGAGAACCTGTGCGGTGCAATCTTTCAGTAGTTAGCAGGTTCGCACGTTAAGGTCAGTTCGCACCTGATTATGGACCTATATATATATATATATCATACCTAAAGGTTGTTGTTGGGTCACTTGGTCTGTTTCCTTTCTCATGGTGGAAAGCTGGTGACTAAAAAAACACAAGAAGAAAGTGTGGCAATGCAATGCGGATATGATTTTGTATTGTTGATTGTTCCTTCGCTTTATGCAAATGCTACCAGGCTACCACCATATATATATACACACCAGGGGAATAAGGTGGCGCCACCAACTGGTGCGGGCAGCAACCTCACTTCAATTCTATCGAATCTTCAAGAAATCAACCCGCAGCCATATCAGTTTGACATTTCTTTGGATTTACCTTTTGCCATAATTCAACTACACCTAACACGAATGCCCGCTATTAGAGTGTTCCTCTTTGCATGTATTTGACATTAAAATCAAGATTCGTTTTGCTTTCGGCTGAGGATGTTTGTGAGTAAAGAACAATGAAACCATTAAATTCAGTTAATGTTTTTTTTTTTTTTTTATTTTTTAATGTGGAATATATTCCTTGATTTTATCAATGGCGGTTTATCAAAAATCATAGAATCATGGATGCCCTCCAAAAGAAAAAAGTTGAAAAACGGGAGACAATGAAAAGCCATGCGGACGTGGGATTAGCAAGTCGGTAATATGAAAAGAATATTTTTAAATCAATTTTAAGGTTTTAAATTTTAAGGATAAGTTTATATTACGGTGGACAAAGGATTCAAACTCAATATGCTTAATGAGTATCATTTTAACGTTTGTTCAAGATTTTTTTTTAAATACTCATGATTCTTTACAACTTAAGTTATGGACAACTTAAACTGATTTATTTCATTGTGATTATTTGCAAATCAGATCATAAATCATGATTTAGTCCATACACTCAAATAATGATTGTGAACTTTATTTTAACTTCTTTTTAATTATTAATTTTGAGAATGCTCCGGCCTGTATTACATTCATATTCTCAACAAAAAACATGGAGACAATACTCAGCTCCTTGGATAAAAAAACACATCTTGCAAGAATCCATCCAATAATAATATTAGTAGTACTTAAAATTTGCATGCATGAGCTTAACTTAATGGTTCAGTAGACAAAATTTGAGAGAAGAGACCAAGATTCAAACCTTAGGAGCGATAGACAGATACCTTGTACGCATCGACATTTGAAGCATGCTTGCACTAAAGTATATGCTTCTCAATTAAACTCATCAATCAAAACCTTTCTAATACAGTTTACTTTTCTTGTATAGCTAGTTGATTATGAACTAAACCATTAAAAGAATGAATTAGAAGATAAAAAGATGAAAAAGGCATACAGCAATGTGAACCTTTATGGAGAATTGCTTAACCGAGAAGGTGCTTAAATTGATAAACCATTTGGGATGAGTTATGAGGATGAAATTAAATTATTTATAATTAAAAATTAAAATGTAGATGAATGTGAATCAAGTTGATTATAGATAGTGCAACACTTGTGAAGATTGAGATTGATTAGCAAAGTGCTTTTGGAGGCTTGCCAACTTGCCAGTCCAGGGACGGAGGGAGAGGGGGGCAGGGGGGGCGGCTGCCCCCCTCACCCCACCCCCATATATAGTATTTGTATGTATATATGTATATATAGTACATGTTTTAGTATTAGTATAAAAGAAACTATAAAATATTAACAAGAAGTGAGTTAGAGTAGGTGGTAGAACACAACTTTGGTAATAATAAGGTTAAGGATTTCAATCTTAGCATCAACATAATTTTACAATTCTTTTTAAATAGTTTTTTTTTTTAATATTACACACACACTCTATAATAAGATGTGTAATTTATAATGTGTTTTCTATTCAAATTATTTTATTAATTATGTTTCATATTTTGTTATGAATATTTTTATAAAGTTTCGATGTGTTTTATTTTTCGTCCATATCCAACAATATTTACAATTTTATTTCTTAGGTAGTTTATTTATTTATTTTTAAATTATCTCTTTTGTTTTAATGTTTCGCCTTTTCTAGAAAAATTTTCTAAATCCATCTGTACTGTTTCGCCCCCCCTCAACCGAATTTCTGACTCCGTCCCTGCTTGCCACATGTCTGGTTGCAAAGGTGTATTGGCAATATAATGAGTATATATATATATATATATATATATATATATATATATATATATATATATATATATAAATACTAAAAGTGTAGTTTAATTATTGGTTTAAAATTTTAGTTAGGTTGTGACAAAGCTTATCTTTTAATTTAATATTAAAATTAAATTCATATAAAAAGGTGCCATCTTATAAAAGAGATTTTGCCCACGCATTATTTTATGATCTATTAAAAAGTAATCGGCTTACTCAAAATAATAAATGTGTAATTTAATTATTAATTTAGATTTTTAGTTGAAACTGGACGCCCGTATCCTCTAATTTGGTAATGCTATTCAATAAATGATACTATATAAATGTACAATCTAATTATTATATTAAATTTTTAATTAAAATGGAACACATTCTTTGCAAGCTAAGAGTGTAAGTCATTGCTAATTGTGATTTCTATTTGAAAGAAAATTGTGTTATTCTTATAGAGTATATCTATAGTGGATATGGGGGAAAATAAGGCTTTGTTTGATAACATAGTTAGTTTATCAATCAATTTTGACTTATTTAATAACTATTAGCTGTTTGATTTGGTTAAATATTCGATCAATATAAGTGTTTAATTAATTAGTTTGTTTGTAACACTTATTACTTCAAAATGATAAAATTCAAAAAGTTGCTCATAATAGCTTTTTCAGAAAGTCATTTTGCATGTAATCAGTTATCAACTAATTAGCAACTGATTTATCAAATATCATTTTACAATCAGCTAATGCTATCAACTAATCAAACCCACTAACCCAATCAACTAACAACTAATTAACAATTATTTACCAAACACCCCTAAGTGTATATATTACTTAGTTAACCCAAGTCAGAAACATAATTTAGCATTACAATTTGTATTTCAATCTTAATAAGCTATAGTTTACTGTTGGTATATAATATCTATAAATCGACAAGACAGCAAATATTTCTTCTTTGTATTAAGTTTAGGGTTATGGTAAAATAAACTTAAGAGTAACACAAGTTGAGGAATGGATCATAGTTTTCCAGTTTTATCCCATTCTTCACAAGGACAATCGTTATGCTATGGACCCGTGTCCAGCATGCATGCTGGACACGGGTAACAGTGTCGTTAGGCACTGTTATTATTATTATTATTATTATTATTATTATTATTATTATTATTATTATTATTATTATTATTATTTAAATTTCAGATCGCTTCGTTATAGGAGTATATGTTCATAATTTTATTACTATATGTTCATAATTGTAAGTTCATAATGTCAAAGCTCTATGTTTATAATTCAATAACTGTACATTCATACTTCCATAACTGTACATTCATAATTCCGTAACTGTACATTCATAATTCAATAACTGTAACTTCATAATTTTCGAAGCTCTATGTTCATAATGTTATCACTATATGTTCATATTGTAAGTTTATAATGTCAGAGCTCTGTGTTCATAATTGCATAACTGTACATTCATAATTGCATAACTGTACATTCATAATTCTGTAACTGTACATTCATAATTCAATAACTGTAAAATCATAATTTTCGAAGCTCCATGTTCACAATTTTAGAACTCTATGTTCATAATTTTATCACTATATGTTCATAATTGTAAGTTAATAATGTCAGAATTCTGTGTTTATAATTTTATAACTTACATTCATAATGTGATAACTGTACATTTATAATGGCACAAACGAATAACGCCGTTAACGGCGAGACAAAATTATTTTTTTTTTTTTAAACTGGAATGACGCGTTTTTCTTAAAAACAACGTCGTTGTATTGTGGACACGGGTCCAGGGCATAATTTGCCTCACAAGGACTAAAAGTCTAAAACAAGGTTTAAATGGGCTATGAAATTTGCTTAGTGCTATTACATGATTGCACCACTTGGCCCAATCATCTTTGTAAAGTCATCCTTATATGTGCACTTCACCAAATTGGGCTCATGATTTAAAATTTACCAAAAATGAAGCCCAAGTGAGTTAATACTAGCCTCCCAGTCCCAACAATCAATAGTTATGTTGTGCATGGTGTACACGGTTGCAAAACAACATCGCTTTGATTAAAAATGTGCGTCTCATTTAAAAAAAATTAATTTCAATTCCCTCAACAGCATTATTGTGGCTATATAGTTATGAATTTGTGGATATATAGTTATGAATTTATGGATATTTAGTTCATTTATTGTGGATATTTAGTTCATTCATTCTGGATTTTGTGTTATTCATTCACTGTGGATATATAGTTATGAATTAGTGGATATATAATTCAAATTATGCACAAAAAAATACTTTTGCCGGGAATTGAACCTGATTTTTTTTTTTAAAGTGAGACAGGCGTTTTTAGTCAAAACAACGTCGTTTTTGTAACCGTGTGCACCATACATGGTGCACTGTATGGTGCACACGGTTGCACAGCATAATTTGCGCCCAACAATCGTTATATCGAGGACCAATATTTACCATGGACATTGTAGACGTGGTCCAGATTATATATATATATGTAGTTAACATATTATGTACCTTTAATTTATTTACAAATATATAATTTGTTAAATGAATATACATAATCCAAACCAAAATTCATAATATACATGATAGACTCTGGTTCACGATATTTATGCAAGGGCAATTGTATCTTGACCCAAAAAGTTCTTGCTACATTCTATTTTAGAAAAAAATGATAAAGTCGGGTTAGGTTATCCTTATTCCTGTAAGTATATCTCACTTTCAAAAGTAGATCACACATCATCAAATTTCAAATTACTTCACTATTTTATCTACATCCCTATAATACTCTCACTTTTAAAAACGATCCCACCTTCACATCACAATTATAAATTCATAAATTTTAATGGTTAGATGCAAAAAGGATGCGAAAATAGCTTTATTCTTGAGCTACTTATTAGTTTCTTAGTGTGCACCGCACCCTAGCTAGTAAAGAATCATAAGGAGGTAAATTAACTTAGGTTGTCAATAGCTAACGGGATTAAATTAAGAAAATTAATAAGTTGTTCCTACTGAGAGTGAAACTTGAAACCCTGTGTTTATCAAATTAACAACTTACTACTCA